ACCTCATCAGACTGGCACTGTCCTTGGCATGATTTCGAATGAGACGTTTCTCTCTTTTCTCCCATATTCTCCTGTTACTCTTTCGCATTCATCGCTTGCATTCACTTTGTATGTCTGTGACCATGCTCTTTAAAAATAAATGATAATAATGATTGACCTTATGATTAGTGTCGTGCGAAGACAAATGGATTTTGTTCGACATATGCTTACTGTTTGAAATAACTGGTGGGATTCCATTTTATAAGTTCTATCTGTTACCAATTTTGCTATTGGTTCAACACAATTTTGCTCAGAATATAGCTTAAATGTACGACACTCGGCTATCCTACACAATGAAGCAGTACGGATTCAGAAGATCTTTCACTTTCGACCGAAATCAAATGTCACATTAGAAACAAACCTAGAGTGGCTTCGCCGTCGGAATTATGGACATCCGCATTTAGATTCACTGGTATACGAAAAAACTCCCGATAGCCTGAACAAAGCCCTTGGTCCAACCAGATGCACACAGCTGTTACCTCACCAGAAAACAGAGTTGGCAGAAAAACAATCGAAACAGTTCTAATCGATAAAGTGGGCATGCAGATTGACCAGTCACCAATTTATTTAAACAAGCAACCGAAGACATAGGCACAGATTCAAACGATAGAACAAGATGGATCGTAAACTGAATGTTGACATTGAGTGAAAAACTTGACACCCCACCATAGAAAACAATTTTTCTCAAAAGAAAAGGTGTTCCATAAGACACAGAAAGAATTACATTGAATTTCAAACACCCACCAGCATAACCCTTAAAAAGGATCAGAGTATCAGTCATCTATCACATTTTGCGGAGTGTATTCAAGCATCCGGTTTGTGTTGCCTAGAGAACACTCACGTGCGAAAGGTACCCAGAAGGAAAATACAATTGCCTGTCAGAAATGACCAAAAAGTTCTGCACAGTTTGACCTCTCCAGGTCTCGAAAATTCAGTACAACCATCAACTAGCTGACTACGAGGTTGTCTCACCTGAGAAACACTTTTTCCAGGGGGTATATGTATCAACAGCAAAAAGGTATAGATTTTGAGGTTAAGAAAGCATAGCAGCGTAGATCGCAACTGAACAGAGATCCGGCTTCCTGATCTTCACAAACCCACTACCATGTGTGTGCCGAAACCAGTTGGTTAGTTGGTAACGGTGATACTACTGATGGGGAGGCATGCGAGTAGTATGTGTTGTAGAATTTCGCTGTGCGTCTTCTGAAAAGGGGAGATCTGCTGCGGAATTCGTGGAGCCACTTTGTAACATTTGCTTGGATTTGACCGACGAATGAGTGGAGTCCATGAATCTCCAGGAAAGTTCAAGTAGACGCGTTCGGGAGAAGATGGGTGTCCAGTTTTTGTAAATAAGATGCAAATTAGAGTTTTGCTTCCCTGCTCAATGGTCTGTAATCGGCTAGTTGGCATTTCCTAATAAATAACTCCGCAGCGGAGGCCTTCTTCCTTTCACTATGTCTGTGTCGAAGTCAGTTGGTTAGAGAGAATACGTAATGGCTCACAAAAGAGTTCCGTTAGGTTTACTGAACAATCTTTCCAGCTAAGGCACTTGTCGATATTCTTTTCACAGTAATCAGGGCAATCCAGTCAAGAAGTTTTCACGGTAAGAAATAAACTCATGCAGTTGATTTATTTATTTAATTTGACGCAACACTTCTAAATGACAGCTTCCTGGGATGTAATGTCACCCGCTCTAGGTAATGCATTTCCTGTTTTGAAAAAACCTCCACTCCGTCAATCAAGGGCCGTCAAAGTGAGAGTTCCAATGAGATTCGTTTCCCTCGAGTTTAATCATCGAAGAGCAGTGGCTCACGAACGACTGATTCGGAGGGCCATCGATCACGGGCTAGCCATTTCAGATGTGCTACGTGGTTGTGATATAGCAGCCTGTGAAAAATACACGTTTAGACACTGAGAAACTGTACCTGAAACAGCCATGCTTGTGTGAAACCGGTTCAACGATTTCTCCCTCTCCGCCTTCCAAGCTTTCTCCGTCAGCCGGAACTGCTTTATTCGTGCCAAAAAATCACTGGCGCTGTCGTGGAGCAGAGTTTGCAAATGCGTCAACCTGATTGTGGTTGATAGGAATAACACCGTCAAATGAGAGTTGTACAAAAAGTTGAGCTTGTATCTACAAGATTATGATGTAAAATTCTTCCACCGCTGGAAGCTTCACTACCGAGCGGCACATGATACATATGCAAGGGTGCGTGAGAATGAGAAAACGGAGCAGTGTGCTGGAAATAAAGTCCTACGAACGAGGTCAAATATTCCCAAAAGGACGCCCCAACGACCAGGAGTAAAAGCACGTGGCGTCGAAAAGCCACAAAGGAGGTTGCAACGAAAATGTAAGAGTGACGCAAGGCATTGGTGGCCTCAACTGGGACAGCTCCGGAATTCTGGATGGAAGTTTTCATGAAGTGAATAAAACCGACGGGATACACGTGATCAACCGGTATAATTCCACGCCAATTAGGTCAGATAATAATCCGCTTGCCACAGAATCAGCCTCTCCAGAGAGCCGTTTCTGTCCAGCCCTGTGCCAGTTAGCGATCAGGTCGATATCTTACAGGTAATCAAACTTAAGCATGTTAGTGACCGCTGATTACGTCACTGGGGACCCCACATGGTCCACCTAAGCACTTGCTGGCATTCAGTTCATTTCAGTTTATCAGCCATAAACTGTGTATCAAGGGTACGCTGGCACCAACTACCGGTTTTGGTCATCAGAAAATGGAACAGCGTTTAATGTACAGTCAAGCATTAAAGATGATATCATAATCAGTTGGTTTGGTATGCATTGAAGGCGACAGCTTTAATGCACAAGTGCCACTCACTACGTAATCGAGTCGTCTACCAGTGTGAGTGATCATAAGTGAGTTGAGTTCCAGGGTCCCCATTCAGAGGGGGCAGTGGTCGACCCGACTCAGTTTACTGTTCAGTGTTTTCACACCTGTTCGCCAAGCCATAGACTCTTCACCTCTCGATCGCATACACTGAATACGACCGGGCGAAAAGTGCAGACGGTCCTCTGTCATGCGAAGTACATATCCTAACTAGCGTAACAGATGAAGCGTGAGTAAGTCATCTGTCGTTGGAGAGATCCTTCTTCCTAAAACCATGTGACGTACCTCTGGTGCTAACACCAGACCCGAAAAATGCATCGAAAACACCGGTGGTCAAACGCTGAAAACCTTCGTACATCCCCTGCGTGTAGAGGCCACGTCCTCGATCCATAAAACAGTGAGGATCGCACTGTCTCTCCGTCCACAAGCAATGGTTAGGACTAAACTGAACAAGTTTGCCCAGTCACAACAACCAAACCTTGGAACAAGGTCAATACCGTCAAAACAACCTAGAAAAATCCCAAATACCGATGTGGAAACAAGACTAACTTTTTTCTGAGCTTCAGGAAACTCGACGACGCATCTTGATTCAGTGCATCATTGTAAAAAAAAAGTTAGTCCGTCTTGGTCAGGAACGTAGTGTCTACATGGATCCGGAAGAGGATTATGTGGGTGGAATGCAGAGTTTAGAGGAAGCCGAAAATATGACCTAGATTTCACACAGAAATCATTGTGTAAACAATGGCCTAGACCACTTCCAATTCCGTCCGCGAACAATTATGAAATGAAGCGAACGGTGCTACATAAACTACCAATTTTTGGCAAATTTCCGCTCAGCAAACCAAAGAGACGGAACATGTAGCAGGACAACTAAGCAGTCACTGAGTACATATTTAATTCTGGTTGTCAGCATGAAATTCAAAGATATGTGTGAACCCTGTATGCTAAGCAAAAGAGGCAAAGCTCCTCCAGCCATGAATTTTCTAGAAGGTAAGTTGTCCTCTTAAATAAGCTATGTTGTGAAGTTTTGGATGTCATATGCTTGAAAACTAAGGGAAAATTTCAACGTCAGCAGTCAAAACAAGTTCCTCTAGTTATTATTATGTGGTTAGAGGCTCTCGAGAAAGCCGGAAATACAGATTCAACTGTTTCCCTTTCATTGGACATTTGGTGCGTAGCGGGGTGGAGAGTTTCAAACTGGAACTAGAATAGACGAGGTTATTTTCAAAATTACCGTGTTCAAGACTTTCTACTGTTAGGAAAAAAACATTGACAAAGTCATTGAGCTGTAGCACCCTTTCGTTCCCTAACTGCCATGTCGCCCGAAGTAAGCACGAGGTTTGGGATATTGCCAGGTTGCCCAAGCCTAAACAGGAGAAATTGGGATGCAGAGGTCAGGTTCGAACCACGGAACTGCCGTCAGTGATTCGTGCTCAAACCACTGAGCCATCTCAACCCCACCCTGATGAAAATGACTCCAAAATATTTGCTACTTACTGCTCCTGTGTCAGACGCAACTTCTCCTCACACTGCCTCTTGGTATTCTTTGCCTCTTCCAAAATGGCATGTCTTTCATCTAATAGACTGTTCAGTTGTTCCTTCGCAAGTCGTGTCTGTTCGATCAGCTGGGTACGCAATGACCACAAGTTAACCTTGGTTAACTCGGTTTCACCAACCACAGCCTCGTACTCGAGTTCGGATACGGGCGAATTAGTGCAAGGGACTGCATGACTTGAGGCATTGCCAGGTTGAAAATTAATGAGCCCTGGAACACAGTTATCAGAAAAGAACGGGTAAGTTTGCTGAGAATATAAGAATAAACAGCTGCAACATAATTTTCGAGCAATGCACGATATGAACTGTAGTTATAAAGAGCAAGTGGACAAAAGGAAATGCTATGCCTACCAGAAGCATTCAGTTTTCTGACGGTTTCGCCGGAAGGAGTGAATTCTACAACACCCTCTTTTGGTTTGGGTAAGTTGTTGAGCAGGTCAACAAGGTTCTCTTGCTTTCCACCAGTGTCCCCCGCAGGCCCACCATACTCACGTAAGAAGAATAGTTGCGAGTCGGGACTCAAACTAGATAGCCGCAGGAGTCGTCGTATTTTACGTTCATTGTTTATCTCACGTATCTTCATTTGGTCATTCTCCGCGTAGAGTGTGAGCACGTGTTCCCTCTCTTGCAACAGACACAACTAAAAGCCAAAGAACAGTCAATGCGTGTTGTGCGAATGGGCTCACCCGTAGATCAGAAAGGGCTGTTTTCAGCTCACTTATTTCACGTTCACGTTCACGAATCTCTAAGTTGAACTGCTTCTGTTTGTCGATCGCAGTCGCTATCTGATCAAGACGAAGTTGCAGCAGTTCTTCACCGTCACCGGAAGCACTCGACAACTGAACAGTAGGAATGTTGATGGGTTCAGGGTCATCTGGAAGTATCCCGAGTTCATTTAGAACGGGACTAACAGGATGAATCTCAAGCAGATTTTGCTGATGCGAGCCTTTTTTGTTCTCATGTACAGATCGCTTCGCCGCTGTATCGCTGCTGCATAAAAAGATGGGGTGAGAAATCCGCAGTAAGGTTGGGTTCGGTTCTCAAACTTGGGAGGGAAGGATTTTAGCAACATATCTTCTGAATATACATGGATTATCGACAGACTAATGCTGTCTCATATATAGTAATATATATAGTAATATGTATGCATTATGATATTGTTATGACGGACAATCCTATTAACTGAGGTCACAATCAAACTGTCGAAATGTCAAGGGCATTGAGTATCCAACAGTTCAGTAAATTGAAATTTATTCGAATAAAATTACACATCCAAATGGAAGCTACACTCTTCCTGTGTAATAGTAATATTTATGGGTACACGATGTAAAGTCAAGTACATTAGGAGAACATCGGGACCGAAGCTTTTTTATTCTCAAAGCTAGATGAGCCAAGCTCTTCAAATGAACATAGTGGAAGTCCAGGTAGAATGAAAAGATTCCGTTTGTGACGCCTGCCAAAATTGTCAAACTTCGAGTGATCGGCTTGACATAAGCGAACGTCATTAAACATCAATTCTCGACGTTGATCCATACAAGCAGTGAGCTAACAGTTAGTTCGGTTGCTGAAGTCACAGTAAGTCATAGACTAAGGACTTTACATTACAACAGGCCAGTAGGATACATGGTATTACATTACCCGCAGAAAGTCCAGATGTGAAACTCGTATGGGACACACTGGTGAGCGGCGTCTACAAAGGGGAGAGGACCACCAATATTTCTGTTAAAGTAAGGGCTGTCACCACGGATATGAGTGGAGTAGCTTGAAAGGAGAAATACGACAGAACTTGACCAAAAGTATGTCGAAACAATTGCCCTTTCTGTGATTTCCTCCGAGTTATTTTTGTACGAAACTAAAATGGGGCGTGAACTTCGTGAACAAATGCTTCGGGCTCCGTCTGCCCAAAATCTGAAGGTACCCAAGTTAAAAGGAAGCGCCGAAAATGGAAAAAACGGGTAGTCCTATTAGCACTTTGAATACCAAGTACTGAACCGATTTTGTGTTTTAGACGGTTGGTTATGAATAGACCCGGTAAGTCTGACTATAGAAAGTCGGCTGTCGCAATCAGACAAATGAAACAGAGTCTACAGACAGCAGTGTTGTGGAATGTAGGTAGCTCGGGTGCGCTGTTTGGTTGTTGGTCCAACGACCAGAGTGTACAGCTCTTGGAAGTAACGTAATACCAACAAAACAGTTCAGTTCCTGTATCACTAAACGTTTGGGTGTGGTCCAACGACCAGAGTGTACAGCTCTTGGAAGTGACGTAATACCAACAAAACAGTTCAGTTCCTGTATCACTAAACACACAGAGAGTGAAACGCAAGGAAGATGAGTTAGACTGACTCAAGTGGAAATGTATCACCAAAGTAGGACATTGAATTTGTGTTTCAGAGACACAATGCACATATTTTTGGGCAGGACAGGGTACGAGAAACGTTGATGCAGTGCCAATAATATGAGCAGCAACGGTGAAGAGTCTCTTTCGTTTTAGTAGCACATGCTTAGTTTTATTTTACTGGAATGACGGCTAGAAATGGGTCCTGAAATGGCAAGTTGAGTGAGGAGGTCCTAATGGAAAAAGAATTAAAGCTGAATCTGATAAATAAAACGAACTGCCGCTGTTTCTACGTCATGTAAAAATACTCTAATTTCAGGTTGTCTGGGCCAAAGAGGGAGCGTACCAAGTCAGAAGAAAGTTGGAGACAGCAGAGCTTTGGTCAATGACCATGCTTTCAGCCACTTATTCAATAAGCTGAGCCGCGAAGCAAGGTTGGTTTGGGCCGATGTTACGACAGTAGTACCTACTTAGCTGTTTCTAGCCGAACTGCGTGGAGTACGGTGGAAATAACCGAATCCTGATGCGCTGCGTATGACGGATGGGTTCGGGTCTATGACTAGATCATGATGACCTGGATCGTATTAAACAAAAATTCGCTAGAATTCAGGATCGACTGTTCCACCATTAGTCTTAGGGGTTCTTAAGGTAGGTCTTCCATAACCCATCCTTCCCTTGAGGGTATTTAGTTGGTTCCACAGATATTGAAATGCAAAATGTCTGGAGGAGACACCTCATCAACTTCACACTTCGTGCGATCCCCCCGGGCCTCACTGTAGTACGGTAGCTCGCTGCTCCCTCTAGGCCCTCCTGGCGCGGCTACATCCGGGTAATGAAGAGCGCTGGCTTACTGAAATACTCAAATCCAACACGCATATCAAAGTCGTGGACAATGGTCGAGTTGGAACCAGGCAATGGAAAGCTTCCAATAAACTAGACTTAGCTTGCTTCCATACAACACAGCTGTTTTGTTAGGAGGAAACAAACGAGGGGTCTGGCTACGATAAAGTTTTCACTCCCACTACTGCGATAGCTCCATTACCAAGGAATATTGGACTAAACAGATAGTAACAGAAATGACTCGCTCCGACCAGATTTATTGCACCCTTGTTGGTTACCCTGATTACCCTCAAATTATTGGAAAATTGGAGGCACGAGAAGACTCTACATCCGAAGCCAATTCAGTACTATTTTCCTCACCTAGTGTACACTGCGAATAATACATAATGAGTATAAAGCGTAAATATCCTTGAAAATTCATGGATTTTGGGGAAAGACGTTGAAAATAAAGTGGCTTACGCTTCCACTTGACACCAATGTGTAGAGCACTGGGCAGAAGCCTTCATAGATGGATACATAGCACAGCCATAGTATCTATAGAACAGAAAGTATAAAATTGAGTTCACTGGATGGAGGCGCTTCTGAATCAAAAGTTTATGAACATGTCAAATAAACATAGCCATCCAGCCAACACGCCTAACGAAAACGAGCCGATATGCTGCTCAGAAAATGATGGAAAAACAAGCGAAAACATGTCGTCAAATTATGTTGGCTTTCCACAAAATGAGACCACATCACTTGCTTGGAATAGGATGTGACATGAGCACCGATGGCTTACAGTATTCGATTTGCGCTTTCCCTCATTCGAGAGCCGCGAGAGACCTGCATCAGAACACACATGCGACTGGTAATTCTGACTATTTTAACACCAAACTACTCGAATGTGGATAGTAGTTAAAAACGATCACCACAGGGCAGCTCCAAACCTGAGGTCGCTGGGGCTTCGGGAGTTTGACATGGCCTCTAGTATTTGAAATCATTTTCACAGCAGAACGACCAACATCATATAAGAGGGTGCGCACAGAAAGAGAACCTGATAAGGTCGACCGTAAATTGGGCTTTGAGAAAAAAGTGAAATGGTTCCTTCGCTGACGGAGGATTCTTCCCCGTGCATTTATCAGCAACAATTCCCATACTGTCCATACGGGATACCTGAGTCTATTACCAAAACTCATATATAATGAATGCGTACTATAACTTGCAATATGACGCGATATATATAATATGGCGGTAGCATACCAAAGTAATTTAATTTATTTAACTTAATTTAATTTAACCTAATATTGTAAAATTAATTCTACAGGAATCTAAACCAAATGCGTACATCGTTTCCATCACCAATATGATCGTTATTGACATAAGCACACAAGTATTAGCTACTGGTACTTGACTATTACACGGCACGGCTTCAGATAACTCAGTGGTTAAGGCGCGAACTAACTGACCAGAAGGTCCATGGTTCGAACCCAACCTCGGCATTTCGACTTCGCCTGTCTAGGCTTGGACAGCCTGGAACTAACTAAAGCCAAGAGCTTCTTTCGGGTGGCGTGGCAGCCAGGCACCGAAAGGGTGTTACAGTTTAATGATTGTTGTGTTGTTGTACAGAGCAGTGGAAGGGGATGTAAGCAGTACTAACAAAAAGGGATGTTAGACGTCAGTCGTATCAGAGACTATTCGTCTTTGTATGTCCAACGATTTGTGCGTCCAGGCGGACTGGAGCACGTGATGCCCGATGTAGTACGAGATTAACCCCAATGGTCTTAGTCAGATCTGTGTGGTGGACAAGCGGATGATTAAAAAACAAAATGCTCGCTCCAAGTGTTCAACCGTCAGAAGCATCAAATTGCACTAGGTTCCAGAAGCTGCCATTGCGTAATAATATAAAAAACAAAACTGTGCGATCCTAGACATGCTTTAGTATAGTTAGATGGGCTCGTCGTTATGTAGTAGGTTGTAATTATTGTAGGCTTTTCTGAGGGTTGTCAGCATCCGCTATGAATCTCAGTGCGGCGCCACTTTAGTACATAGACGATATGTGGCGTTAAAGAATCGAAGTCTGTGGTACCGACAGGCCAGTTACGCGCAGAAAGCAGCAGTTGAAATTGCAGCATTAGGGTTGAATCACAGCCATAGGATGAATCTACAAGATTGCGCGACCGTAACCTATGCTTACGGTTGTAGGGATTGTTCTCTTGAGGCGTGAAAGTAGTTCATCAGATATTTTAGTGACGGGTAATCTGCCGAATTTTTAAGCGCCCGAAATATCTTGGAAGAATGGACTGGCATTCAACCGAAAATGTGGCGGAACAAGCGCCCTGCGGTAACACAACTGTCGACAAAAGATTGATGGTCAAGCCTGCATCGTCTGTTACTAGCTCCTTCTGCGACCTTGTCACCGAAGAGATCCAAAACCAACCCGATCATGGCTAGGTAACTCGAACCGAAAATTTTTATCCAACAGTACCATAAAGGTGGAATATTTAGGAACAATGATCCTGGTTACCGTAGTCCTGATCACGCGATACAAGCTCTTGACTTTGTTGGTAACCCCTTTTGCATAGTCCCATGGTTCAACAGAAACCGAGAAAAACTTTCAAGTAACGCAAAAAAAATCTTTCGCCTATACTGGTACGGTGGATTACTAGAGTCCAAGCAAAGAATTCACACCAATGTTGCATATGTTCAAATCATCGCATCCCAAGCTCTTGTTCCCAGTTGCACTTATACTTCCGTGAAAAGTCGCCGGCCTTTAATGTGGATTCCGTAACCGAAGGACGAGTGGCGGTGTATTCTGTCTTAATGCGACTAAGAATATAATCGTTCAACGGTAGCAAACTTTCGGTGCCTAGCTGCCGTACCACCGGAAGAATGAAAGTGGGTTGCCCAAGTCCAGACACGAGTAATCGAAATGCTGAGGTAAATTTGAACCATGGACCTTCCGGTCAGTAAGCTCAACCACTGGGCTGTCTCGAGCTCCCTGAGTGTTTACCACACTGCTGGACAGCTCCTCATTGCCAAACGTACCGCCATGTCGCGGGTTCGAAATTCCCTTGGGTTTCATGATATGTGCACCGCTGATGATTCCCAATAAGGATGATACAGCTGTACAGTGCTCCCTGGCTTTTCAGTACAGATCGTCTCCATTTACAGATCGAAATCTCAATTAAGCAATAAAGCTGATATCTTAGCTACTAGTGCAAAGTGATACCACTAAAGAAAAGTCGCTACGATGAAGGTATCTTTTGAACTATATTACGGGGTATAATCTTTTTGAGGGATTAGGCCTCCGACCCAACCCCAATGCACCCGGTCGGAAAGAAGTTGCGAGAAATAGGAATCTCGCCGGAAGTTCTCACTAACTACTCAGTGCTTATCATCGACTACCGGTCGGGCTCAATGACGGTGAATTCCTTCAACCCTTACTCGGTCTCACACCATGAGTTACACAGTCTCTGTTCATATGGTTCGTGGGTTTAGCTTCCTTATGCCTAGTCTTTCAAACCGAAACAATCGGATCCCCCATTTACTTTCAAATTCATCTGAGTACGAGCGATGTCATACGCTGCAACTGTTCATCATATAGTGGTCAGAACAGAAAAGCTTTTGTAAGTGTTAACGAAATTGGTCGCTTCTCTAGTTGAAGTTATTTACCAGAGCAAAGCTGCCACCTTGATGTGATGGTCTGGTTTGAATGCCTCAATGATCTCGCGAGCCACACTGGCTGGAACTTCGTTCCACAAGCTACAACCATTCCAAAGCGGACCACTAAGACCAGGAGCAGCGAGACTTCGTATCACGAGTAATTATGCCACGAGGCAGTCTGGGGTTAAAGCCGTATTGTCCTCTGCCATAAAAATGTGAAGACAGTAAGGTGTTCCCCAAGGCGACCAGCTAGCCCATATTCGTGCAATCAGCGATGAAAGACGGGTTAGAAAAGATCTCTCTAAAAACCGCACACCTCAATCGCCCAACGGTTGACCTAGACCACCTGCACATTATTCAACACACTTGAAATACGCTTAAAACCAAAGTGTCCAGTGCTACCCAAAAGGCACCTGCTGCGCGCATCCGCATCAGGAGTGAGGCGGCAAAGCTTTATTCCCTGCGCCGTATACCTACGCCAACTCCCTGCAGCCCAGCAGGTCCGACTATTGACTCATTGGCCACAGGGTCACCAAAGAAAACCCAAACAACCGCTGTCTCGTGGGTAAAAATTAAGTCGGGGGTTAGGGGCAGAGTCCCCGAACAAAACCCTACACACTCCTACTGCCTGGTGGACCAGACTTTTCAGTCGAAGGCACAGGATGGGGTACCTCAACCAAAATGCCTTCCTCGGCCTGGGCAACCAGGAAGTATCATTCGCCCGCACAGTTCTGTGTCCACTGATGTACCCCCTCAACCGCTTCCCACCACACAAACGTTACTGGGCCATTTGACAGTCATTGGCAGACATCTGACGGACGAACGACCACTGCCTATTAACAATAAACGAAATAACGCCTTGCTGAATCCACGAGATCCTTTCTATATAGGAGCTTTGATGTACGTACTCTATGTCAAATTGGCAAACAATCAATGCTCGCAAAGATCTTAAATTCCCTTAAAATTGATCTTTGTTGTGTCTCCAAAATACGTATACAAAACCCAAACGTTTTCATATATCTCAGAACACCAAGGGCAAACTCAGCTTTTTCACATTTCTCCCTCGGTATGTCCGGTGATCCAGAATGGATGACTCGTGGAACATATCATGTAGGAGTTACACTCAGCCCTAGAGCTGAACGCACTTTGTTGGGTTGGATACCAGTGAACAGTTGTCTTTGCATCGTCTGTCTGTCCAGCTCAAATAAGATCAATGCCTCGACATAAAAATGGCGCCTGTCTGTAGTGTCGGCTCGTGCCCAACGGACCGCCGTTCTGGGGCTGAGAAGAATACTTTCCATCAAGAGCTATCCGGGCTCATTCGTCCAGCAAGTATTGACACTGTGATTCTTGTGGGTGATATGAATGCCCAAATTGGACGTCTAATTTCCATGGAATCACATTTCGGCGGTCGGTTCGGTGTCGATGACCGTCAGGCAGACAACGGAGAGCGACTCATTCCGCTATGTGCTGATCATTAACTATTTCTGGCAAGTGCGAGCTTTCAGCATAGACGTTCACATCGCGTAACCTGGCGGCCAACAACTGCAAGTCAACCGTGGACCCAGTTGGATCACATGGCTATCAGCCACCGATAGAAAGCCGCAATCCAAGACTGCCGTTCATTCTGGGGCACAAAATTTGATTCTGGTCATTCCATGCTGCGTACACACCTGACAGTTCGCTTCCTTCCAGGTCCTCGCAAGTCAGCAAGAAGCATGCCAATCCACCATCTTCGAAGAACTATCATAGCTCAGCAGTATCCATCTGAGTTAGCTCAACAACACTCTACCGCAAATCAGTACTGTACTGGTAGCGAGCATGTGGATGAAGCATGGCAAAACGTGAAAGAAGTTATGTTGCAGCGTTTAATGTTGTCTGTCCGAAGTCTGCGAGACGATCATATGACCAATGGATATCGTCCAGATCGCTAGCAGACTGACGTCAGGAAACCCGAACAAGCAGGCAACGAGCGTGACGGCGCACGCAAATCCCTCAAACGCCAAATAGTGAAGAGCCTAAGGAAAGACCGAGAGCTCCGGTGGACATTGAAAGCTCGAGAGATGGAGGAGGATTTGGCTACCGGGAAAAGCCGTGCTCCATATTGGGGGCGAGATGGTTCAGTGGTTGAAGCGTGAATTTACTGACCGGAAGGTCCGTGCTCGACCTCTACCTCTAAACTTCCCCTATCTGGGCTTGGGTAACCTGGCAGTATCCCAGCCCTTCGGGTGGCACGAATCTCAAAGGCCCGAATCACGATGCTGATTTGTGTCACTTGTGGCATCAAAAAAGGCATATCACTGGGTCTCAAGGGTCGCGTGTATCAGGCTACAATGAGTGCTGTATTGTGGTACGGCTGAGATACATCGCCTCGGTGGCCTTGCACAAGCTCATTGTAAACCGCATGTGATAGTGCCCACTGTGGGTGGAAGTGCGGTGTGGCTTAATGGGACAATGAATCCGCAGAGAGACTCCAGGATTTGTGCTTGGGTCCTCGGATGTACAGATGCGGCAGTAATTCCATGCAAAATAATAATAATATACTTGGTATGAGCCAAAATTCATATAATAATTTAGGACGCTGAACACTCGAGTGTAAATGGAGTTCAGGACAGCCACTTTATATCACATCCAGCCTGATTCCGCTCTCGAAAGTAAGCAAGAAACTCACTTCAGATACTATCGTCACACCCATTTCCACTTGCTCACACTTTTTGTAAGGTCTGGGGATCATCTGGACATAAAACAAATCATTCATTAGAAATCAAACAACTAAACGTGCTCATCCGAGCTGTTTGAGCCGAAGCTGCTTAGGCTGCTGAAACATTTAAGTTTCGAAAAAAAATCCACAATTCTCCCTGGCGGTTTGCGCAGGACTTGAGAGTAATGTGACGGCAAAGCATGGTCGAAGTTTATATATGTATATGTATATGTATATTATATATATATATACTGGGTATTGTACATATTCACTTGAAACCAGCCATTATGCGGATTCGTCAACACCCTACGAAAGCATGTTTAAAGTCACCTGCTTATCCCAAAAGCAACAGAGTATCGCAAAAGGCAATATCCATGTGGTACGTAAAAACTAAATTACAATAAAATACTCGTTTACTTCCAAACTTATACAAAAGTTACTCTGCAAAAACTGTACAAAATCTTTAAGTGTTGGAGTTGTGAGGTCTGAGAAGCTTTGGCTCCATCGGCCGAGCGCGATTACGACGGCACCCATGTGCACGGACCGATTCCGTTTGTTGTTTTAGCTCGCCTTTCCAGGTGCTTGGTTGTTTCAACAGCCGTCGTCGAGTCCCAATATCGTCCATGTCCCTGTCATGCTCAGTACATGGAACTACATTGGACGTCCCTGATTCAGGATGATTACCCACGGGCGTTGAAGCGGGAAGTGGCCGTTTAGTACGTGTATTCAGAGCGCTACCAGATTCTTGACCATACGATGGAGATGTCTGTTTCAGATGATGAGGCGACCTCAGAGGGCTATTCTCGACTGTGTCGGTTGAAACGTTCTTCTTCGGGGTATCTTCGATGACCAATTGCTTTTCGAAGGAGTCATGCTCCTCGTCTAGCTCCCGTATTATACCGGAGAGCTTCTGTAAAGAATTCTGAATTCGAAATGGAAAACCAGTTAAGCGCTTTGACTGAGTTGGAACAGGGTAGCTGTACACTAACCAGTAAGGTGAAAATTAGGTGCGTAGCTATAACGCTTACTGAAGCAGTAAAGTATAAGCTGCACTCTCCTCTGCACAGTCTCAAACAGCTCATTATCGATGAATAAGACAACAGCATAAGCGTTCGATTTATCCGCTCAAGTGTTACATTAGTATGATACGGGTCGTGGCTTCGGTCAGCTTCTTGCAACCTCGAATGAAATAGATTGAAATTAACGTTTCACAAGGATTTGGTGAATAATCGGTAGGCTTATAGCTGGACAATTTTATGCCGTTGACACAAAGGTTTCGTCAGTGAATGAGCTACCAGGTCGTCCGAGTCTTTGAAGGCAAACGAAGAACTTATCAGCCACTACCTGACGTAGGCCCTCATTGAGTTCCCAAAACTGGATGATATCGTCACCACAATTCATTCGGTGGATTTAGTCACAACATTCATTTTAATTTAGCCTCAGATGACCATCGGATAAAACTGAGAACTCGTGGAAGGACCTCGACATAACAAACGATGTATTTAAGTCTAACTCGGAAATTGCAGGTGGTATGCACTCCTCGTTCATGATGTTTCATGTAAGGATTGCACAAGCATCGAAGGCACACCAGTAATTGGGTCAGGAGAAATTTGCTTGGTTGCAGTTTATGGGTTGGCAGAGTGTGCAACATTTGGCCTCAGTGGTGACTAACATAACGAGACCAATGGATATCACAGCACCTAAAAATCTCCTAATTTAAAAGTTGTGTCTGGACCAATCAAAGTCTGTAGTAAAATGGAAGCAATCGCTCTTCTCTGTTCGGTTCATTGAAGATATCACCGTGTAACATTACTAGCACGGTTGTCCAAGGTTACAAACCCTTCCATGTGTACAGTTCACTCCCATTTAGGAAAGGTAACAGTAGCTAAGTGTGATGTTATAGTGCACTCAAGAACTTTAAGTTACTCTATCGAATCTACTGAGAGATTTCACATGAATAAAAACAAAAGAGACCACCGCTGTATTGTTTTGCAGATATTTCTAGTACACAACGAGCACTTTGTCGACTAACTTCCTAGAATATTCCCCTGGCCGCAGTAGACCTCAAATCGTGTAATGGTTGAAATCTCTATAGATCAAGGGACTCCATCTTGAGCATCGTAGCGGAACAATGAAGGTGCACGACGTCATCTGCCTGGGCATACACCTGTGTATACTCTAAACCTTCTTCTAGGTAGCCTAAACATGTATGGCGCCAGGAATTGATGAGTGTCTCTGGGACGTACACTGTTCCGCATTTTAACGGATCGACACAGTGTTACGTGAGCCCAGCGCAGTGGGCTCGTTCGAGTGCGACACGTCAGTCGATCATCGCAGAATTATCCTACTCAAGAAGCGTGTGAACGAGTCAACAGTACAACGGGTAGGTAAATGGAATTCGGCGGTTTCATCAAGTGACAGAAACTCGACTGACCTCACCTCGCCTAGACTCCGCATTAGTAGGTCGACCTGAATCAAGCCGCGTGAGTTAACACGCATGAGCGAGTGAGTTGACGTAGACTAGTCACCTCTAGCTAAATTTCCGAATTCGATCAACCAGCTCGTTTGAATAACTGTGACTCGCATACGTTCCCTTCGCAATAACGCCCAACACCCAATCAAAAAGGTCGTCTCGTCTATCTACACTATTAGCCTATTAGATTTGTATGTATCAACGAATATGTCCTGACAGGCATCATCCAGTGAACAAGTGCAACCGGACGACGCATTCGTATGATGTGTGCGAGTACCCAAATGCTGTCGTCGGTCGAGCTGTATGGTGTTAGTGACAGACGGAACTTAACACACCCACCACCAGTTGCGCAGATATTACTGTCAAGACGATACCTAACAGAGTGCACCTAATCGGGTAAATGTTTGACACAAAAAAAACGATCCTGGATATTTAAGTCGAAGGGTGAACACAGAATCGTCTGTGGTGAAAAGAGGATGTCACTATAACGTGAGGACATAGCAACGATAGAGTGCATAACAAATATTGAGAACTAGAAATTAGTGACTACATAATAGATCCTTTGAACCTTGGACTCACTGGGTGAGTAATGAAGTTCAGGCCAGGTAAAAATTCTTCATTCATTTCCTCTTCGTCTCCTGAACTAGTTGCCGGACGCAGATCCTCTACATGTGCGGACTCCTCCTGTGCCTCATCAAGAAGGGATTTGGCCGCAGTGTATTCTTTTATACTAGCATCTAAGGAACAAAGAGCTTCGTGCAGCTGTACCTGTGAGGTCTTTGGAGCTTCGATCAAGGAAAGGTAAGGGGAAATAGGGTTTTTTGTAGTCTTTTTTGAAACTGCCTCAAAAGTTTCCGCGTTCATCTGTGGACTGTCAAATAAAGGAACACCCGGATAAAGGGCTTGGCGGAGCAGGCAGAAGGAAAAGGCATTCGCTGCACACAATTGTCGAAAGATGTAGTACACATCCAAATGACCATCGTCGCGTGCTTCGTTAGCTAATTGCACAATTCCACTCCACGTTTCTGGGCAGACGCGAATTCGGACCTAAAGGTAACAACAAGACCAAACTTCAGTCAAAATAATCATTATGGAAGACAAATACGCACCAGTGTGCTTGAGGTGGTTCCATGTAGTATGCACCTTGGGTGAATCTATCAACATCTGAATGGTCAGAACAAGCGATCCTGTTACAGAAAATGCGGTAAACCACCGCATACCAGAACCAAACTGCTCAAGTAGAAAATACCAGGTGTCGCATATCATTCGAATTGGTTACTCACGTTGCCTACAATAGGACAAAACAGAGAAGTTAACCCACCCCAACTTGACATAATCCAGAAGCAGAAGAAAGCTTATGGTATTTCCCCGATAAACCGAAGATGAATTTCACAATTCTGTCATAAAGTGAATTAGAGTCAATGCAATGACCGGGAAAACTAAAGCACACTCAAGCATATTCACAAACTTATCACATTTTCCTTCATTTGGGTGATTTGTCCAACTTTTCACGATCGCCTTGAGTGACCATAATCAGACCTCATGCATCTGTAGAGTTATACGTGATGTACGTTAAGCATTCCAGACATACAATGGGGTAGCCTGGATAAAACACTAGCCGTGCTCCGAGTACGAAATTGTTCAGGTATGGTATGATATCAACAGCTGGTAAGGGTTTCGGGCTCGGATACGATGACGCCCCAAAAGGGCTATTAAACGCACAGCTAGACTTGTAGCATACACCTGTTATCATCAGAAACTTCCTCCTGACCTCGTTAGTACGACATACTCTACAATGGTAGCAGTGGAATCCAAGAGACCAGCATCTTGCGGCACAGCAAATGTTATTATTATTATTCGACAAATCTACAAAATCTGTGCTACGATTGCCCCTTGTAGAAAGGGGCAAACAATCAGTTTCGTTTTATGCAATCTAATAGGTGGTGGCATGACGGAAAACAAGCTATTTCGGTCGCTTGTTTTAATAGGAGCAGCACTTACTCTTTTCTAATCAGTGAATGTTGTCATTGAGTATTACCAGAGAGAACACAAAAAGCAGGAAATAAACTTGGTAAGATCGCACTGTGTCGACTAACAATTTCAGCAGAGTGCACTGTGCAGGACAACCTTATAGGACTTGCAGAGACCGTCTATCAGATTGGCCAGCTGGCCTACTGGCCTACTACCACTTGAGGACTGAAAGGTGTGCACCATCAGAGTGACCTATCGCCGACCTGTTGCGCATTGCAATTATTTTTTCAAGTTACTGGTTAAATACTCAATCGTTCCCTTGACTAGGTAGGCGCTCTGGCAATAATTCAGCTCTCATACTTACCTCACTGAGAAACAGCCTCATGCAATTTTGATCTCCAAATACTGCTATTAGCCCTGTCGTCTGATACTTCGAGGAAAATCGAAACCATGCTACTGTGGTTGCCTTGAAGCCTTCTCCATCATTCCTTGCTTCGCCAGCCATCCAGTTTAATGGTCATCCTTCTGCAGATCCTAGTTGTGGACCTACTGGTCACCTCAAACCCGGAATCACAGCGTCTCAATGAACGAAGCCACCGACCACAAATCTTGAATGTTATCGCAAGTGCCGCAAGTTATGCAAGCACATGCATAACTCTTAGTTCCAAAATTGAATGATCGTCATGTAACCAGATACCTATAAAGGGTTACCTTTGTGCTACCCGCCTTTCGACGGCTAGCAGGCAACAACTCATTACTATTCTGACCACATACCATCCTACCGCGAAATTCTTCGAAAAACCGTAGTCATGGTGCATCGAATACTCAGGTGGATTATCTCAGCTCTTTAGATACTGCAGTTGAACATAACACCAACATGCTAAACGTTTAACACAGTTTCATGCTAATCGCAAATTAGCTGTCAGTAGTACTGGGTCGGTTCGTTACCTGATATCGCCTTTTGGCTAAGCGACGATGGACTGATTATACAGCCATCAGCTACCGAGACCGAAGTCCAGTTTGCAACCACTGATCATTCCCGAACACAAGCATCGAAAAAAGTATGCTGTTCTACGTTACCAATTCCCACTTATTTCTAAAAGCAAGTTTTTTTTCGTTTTACCATTGAAAAACGATCAAATACAGGCCAAACTCATTTACATCAACATTCTCCATGAGACTATCAACCGCACCAATGTTGAGTAGATGAGGATATCATGTGCTTGACATACCTCAACCTGCAATATCCCTGAGGATGTAACCAAAAGCAGTGGGTCGAGCATAATTTACAAACTGGAGCCCGGAAGATCGTTGGTTAGTGAATTAGCCAAAGATAACCCTTGGAACCAAATGTAGAACAACAACCAGCACCCATGTCAACGGGCATATTTCCGAGAAATTGAATCGGCATTCTTCCCTCATTACTCCGTCTCTTGTTTATTTGGCCCTATTGGAGCTCCGAACAACGGATACAGGGCTTGAAGTGCTGGTATTTCGCCGGTCTGTAGATCCATAAGAACGTCCTTCGCTGGTGCCTTAATGTGCTTCTTTTCAGGTATGCCGCGCATAAGTTTTCGACGTTCTCTGTATTATATTCAGTTGCTTTTTCAGCCCACAAACCGTGCATCCAAATGAATTAGTTTCAGCTGCCACAGCTTCATTCACTAAGGATAAGGAGACTAAGGAAATGAGGGCCACTAGTTGAAGGTGGTGGCTCAATCAGTTCATTGATGTCAAACTGTTCTGCTCGCCCGCTGTAGCAGGTATTGAGTCTTATGCAGTGGAGACGATAGTTTTGATGCAAGATCACCATCGGCTGCATGCCACAGCTTCAGCTGCTCATGTAAATAAACCTATATACTACATTCCAGAACCTTGTTACAACGGGAGGCCAGCCCGCACACACCCTGTCGGTGGACGCCATGGCTCAGCACATTACCTTACTTCCTTGCCTATCTCCAATCAAATCGCCCAGGTAAGCTAGAAATCTTCGAAAGGCCACCGATCACCCTACACTTGTTGCATACAACTTGACCGCTGTTAATAGCAAGTACGCATCGAGAGGCCTTGTGTAAACTTTAGGGAGAAAGGACACTTCCAGATGTGTTATTCCGAAGCTTCCTAGGCACTAACAACCTCTGTCGGCAAACCTGTTCTTTCTACTCAACTTGGCATCAGCATGTGCCTCAAGAAAGTAGGTAGTGACATAGGCATGAGCGGCATTCCCTAATAAGTGCTCGTTGACCCTGGGAGCTCTGAAAGTTACGTTCCTGATTCTATTGTTCACTAGTTAAAAGTATCTAAAGACATCAACTCTAAAACCAACGCAATGTCCCGATGACAACAACAACAGCGTCTTGATTTCAAGAATGACTGTGGTGGACGACGACATCGATCACCGAATTCGGCTCATTTAGGAGTTTTGTGACAAAGGAGTTTGCTATTCCCCTATTATAATATGTCAGTTCGATTGACGGTTTCTCGTTATGCTAGACAACACCTTACACCACTTTGCATGTATTTGCACATGGTATAACACAGTACACTGAGGATGCAGCAGGCCGTTTGGCATACCTCATTACCTACTATGAGGGGAACACAAAATAGGTCGATTGAGCACCGCACACCTAAACCCTGAGGAGGGATGTGTCGATGGGTGGCGACTTCTAACGCGTTACTGTGGTGGGCAACATGTCACAGCAAATAACTATTTGCTATGCCAGCCATTGAGAATGGTGACGAAGTTGGCTTGCTTATGCTGGCAGAGGTAATGAATGTCTGCGAACTTACATTCAAACAACTCAACTGAACTGAACACGAAGACTAAAATCAGTGCTATCTATACTAACCAGGTTACCAGTGATAACACAAGCAAGGTGCTATTGAGGTAGCATCTGCCATAATGCAAAAATCCAGACTCATCATGTTCATCAAACCGACACACTTCATTTGAGTGAGAACAGACACCTTCGTCACTAAACTTTTGTGCACCGAATCCAGTCATCGATGTCGCCGCTCTTCGTACCCAACCTCAGGATCAGACCTGTGGTTCAAAGCTTCATACGTTGGTTAAGGCCCTTGATGTATCAACCGATAGCAGCTCTGCAACCTACCGCTGATTTCTCATATTTGGAGACAGACCACCTTAACCGATTTCCTAGTTTCAAGACCTAGATCATTCATGTGTCCGAAACGTACCTCTGTATCTTACGTCTGAAGCAGAATCCCCACTTCAACCAGAGTAAATCCCGCAGGTCTTACGGTATCAACCAGTGTCCACGACAACACCAGCGGCTGCTGCATCAGTCATTTACTGAAGCCTTGAAATCTAACAGATACATAAACGGGCAGTCACCTGATAACACTAATCTGGCTGTCCCAGCCCAACCAAAAAACACAAAGACTGTAGAACGTTCGATGGGGTGTCAAGATGCCGACTACACAGTCTTTCCGGAAAAACGTGATCAGTCAGAAAATCACGGTGAGTTTCACCCTTCAGGATAATTCATAACGTAGATATTGGGTCGCCTAGATCACCCCGCCATGCTAGATTCCTCGACTGACTCAATGGACACTGTTGAAAGCATGGTGACTCCATCCCTTTTGGAAATTCCAGAATACATGCAGGATGACCCAGAATTTCGGATCGCATAATAAGGCGCGCAGTGCACTACAGTTAGCATCTGAATCACTGCGGCCTTACTACCTAGTCGCTGCATTCCCATAGTCTTTGACTCTCGAGGAATGGTGGAGTAGACGGCCTCTTGATGACATAAGGGTTGATGACATGGCGTCACCCCAACTGCTGCACTACACGTTGCAAAAAGTCAGCGAAAAAGTCACTTTAGAATCTGTCTTGTCAGTTTAAACAACTGTCAAAAAGTGTCTTCAGCGTTGTGTCTATCCTCTTCAGAAAGTGCTACTTGAATGAACAGGCAAAGGGCACTAATTTGGTCATGAAAACGTCATGAGGTAGATACTTGTTGTATATTTGCTCTGTTTTTCAAACGTTCCATCATTTATTGCTAAATCACTTTCTTCCGTTTTCAGCTCTCAGTGTCAAAGTTTTGGATGAA